TCTAACCATAGCCAAACCAATTTCGTTCCGTTATTCGTAGTTAACTTCTCAATGCATTTAATTAGTTTGATATATTTTTAAACCACTCGTTAGGTGGGAAAAAAATTGTCAAAGTAGTGACACCATATTTGGGTTCGTATGCGGTAGAGGGTTAAATGGAATTTTCTTGGCACTACCCGAGTGTTTCCTGAATTTTCCAGAGAAAAGGCTAGACGGCTCAGAAACCAAAGCTAACAAAGAAAAATCTATATCTGATATCTTTATTGGCGATTTTGGCCGAGTTCAACAAAGCACGCCAACCGTTTCTCTTCTGTAACAACTTACGCCAGTTTCAAATGCATCTTCAGTACTTGTTCGGCGGCGGAAATGTGGTTCCCCTGCTCGCACTCGCATGTGTCGGTTTGTTGAAGAGCGCTTTCTGAGAGCAGATGTTAGAGAGTTGCCTTTCTTTGCTGCCTTTTCGATTTTTACTACACTTTCACTCCGCACGACCATAGACAATGCCGATATTGTCGAATCGTGCAACTTTATCAAATTAACGACTTACGCAATAACTTAAATATACATAAGTGCATTTTTTTAATAGTTATTGGGTTTTTTGGGCTTTTGAAATTAATGAGATGCGGTGCTAAAATTTTTCCTTTCGATTCGAAAGTGAAATTAGACTACGATTTTTTTAATTTTGTAAACAAATTTGCATGTAGAGTACATACACTGCCGGCAAAAAGTATTGACACAGCTGCTTTTTTACAATATATGCAACAATTTTTATTGTAATATTTTTTTGCAATTTTTTTATAAAAATATGGTTCATTCTACAATAAAAAACATCAAAATATAATTTCTAGACTTTGTGCAAAACTTGCGAAAAGTCAGCAAATTTTCAGGCAAATTTTCAACTTTTTTATCAGATTTTTTAGAATTTTTTTGAGTATGCAGATTTGTAGCCCAATCAATTTTGCGAGTTATCGTTGATTTTTGGAAATATGTTTTCACGCAGTCTCTTCCATGCAAAAAAAAATGTTTCGAAAATATTTTATATGGAAAAAATGCAAAACACTTCCAACAAAAAAAGTTCTCAAAAATCAATGCGATTTTTGACTAACTCCGAGCTTGCATTTTTTATACTAAAAATAATGGGCTACAAAACTGCATGCCCAAGAAAATTCGAAAAAATCTGATTAAAAAGTTTAAACTTTGCATGAAAATTTATTAAATTTTCGCGAGTTTTGCGTAAAGTTTTGAAATTATATTTTTATGTTTTTTGTTTTAGAATGAACCATATTTTCATAAAAAATTCGCGGAAAAATATTAGAATATAAATTGGTGCATATATTGTGCAAAATTCGCCGTGCTAATACTTTTTGCCGGCAGTGTACATTTGTACATAGTGTAAATATTTCAATTGAAAGGAAAATTTCAATGTCGAAACTGACATAAACTTTATAGAAGCAGCTGCGGCTAGAAAACTCCACTATATATGAAGATTGCCCTCAAAATATTTTTTTCAATGAAAATATCTGCTGCAACGAGTTATTGTTTACTTTAGCTATTTGCAAAGTGTATTTAAAAGCATTTTCAAAGCAATTAGCACGCTCATTCTCACAACTGCAAACTATGCAAAGATAAACAAAAAAAATACCGAAGAAAAACAGAAATTATGGAAAGTGAAAAACTTTGGCAAATAAGCGGACAGAAGCAGCCAGGCTAAGTAGACCAGTTATAAGAGCAAGTGTACTTTGAACGAAATCATAAATTTCCATTGCAATAAAGGCAGGTGCCAAAACAAATATTGCTGCTGTAAACACAAATATTTTTCGAGGCGCATAATTCCATAGAAAAATTTTAAATATTTTAACAACAATAAGCGATCTGTGTGCGATTAGCGAAATATTGAAAATTAAAAAAAAAAAATTTGAATGAGGCGATGTGCAAGTACACCTGCCGCTTTGTTGTCCGAATTACCATTATCTTTAAATTTTTTTATTTTTTAATGTATCTAAGTAATTTACTCTTATACTATTACTGCACACAATCAATCGAAAAAGCGTAATCACCCCAGGAAAAAAAATTGTTTCCTTCGATGGCGCTGTTGATTAAATATTTACCGATAAGCCACCGCAATTTGCATAAGAATAATTTGTATATTGAATGCGCAAGAAGAAGAAATGTATCAAAGCAATAAATATGTAGTAGAAATTGTACGCCCCCTCAGTGAAGACAGCAACAAAAAAAAAAGAAATGTAGAGTGGGTGAAAAAAAGCAAACAAACTCCGCGCTGTTGTTTGTGGTGGCACATCGAACAACGTTATGATAAATGCGGCACGCCGGATCAATATAAATATTGCACAATAAATAACGACGAAATAATAGTGTGAGATGAAGCGTTAAAATGCTTGTTGTAGCAAAAGCTCAATCAATACGCGTAGATATGTATGTAAATGGAGAGCGGGGGAGTGACGCAAGTGTCATCTACGTTCTACGCTAATCGCTAAACATTCATCAATTGACGCTTTAGCTGCACGGAATGGAGCCGTGGCTATTATTCATGTTTTTTTGTTGGGTTTTTTTCTTTGCTTTCGATTTGGATTTGTTGAACTTGATGCCCGCATTGTTGTTTCTGTAATTTTGTTGTTTCAATAGAGATTTACACATTACACTCCAGGGAAATTAACGGTAACAAATATTAAATGTCAAAGTTAAGAGCAGTTTAGCTGCTAACAACAAAAAATGCTGAGAAGCTATCAGTGAGAGTGTGCGGGTGTGAAATCAACACAGCAGTGCGGTTAACACTGTGCTGACAGCCAGCAAAAGTCAAGCGGTTGTGGGTTTGGAAAAAAAAAAACGTTTTTGTCTGAGGGATTCGCGTGACATATTTCGGCAGAAAGTTAGCGATAAAAAGAATTGAGGAAATGTTATCCCCTTCTCTCTTTTCTGTTTTTCTGTATATGTATTTATGTATGTGTATTTAAAATGTGGTTTATATTAACCCACAACTCCATGGCAACCAGATGGCTCATAGATCGCCTCTAGCCAAGAAGCCTAGGAAATACTGATTGGAACCCAAAAGCCATAGTCGACAAAAGAGAAAATAGCATGAGTCTTCAATTCGTTTGAACTGTTGGAAATCGCAGAATCGAATGGCGTGGTGCCGAGTATCTTCTCAAATGGGTATTCCCCCGAATCTTGCAGGAAGGTCAGAAGAGTATTAATTACTAAAGCATGGCAGCTAAATCAATCCTCTCCAACGGATTTTAGATCAACAAGCCTTTCATCGTTTATCCTAGGAACACTTAAGCGGCTAATTGGCTAATATATAAGTAAGTATGTACGCAATAAATAAAGCATATTACGCCTACAGCAAGGGTAGATCGGTCAGCAGCGCTATAGAGAATATATCCTAGCTAGCTTTTTGGACATTGAGAGCGCTCTTAGTGCTAAATAAACCCTAGCAAGTTTTAAAATAAGTTCACTACGCGGATGACTTAGCAATTTTAATGCACGCAAATTTTTTCCAACAATTAGTGAGTTGATGGCATTGGAACTGGGGAGTCTTTCTGACCCATCTAAAATTGAACTTTTTTTTCGCAAGAAAAAAAATCGGATTATTTACCAAAGCTGGTTGGGACCTGCTTATACCTTTCATCCGACGCAAAATACTTTGGTATTATCATCGACCTCAAACTTACATGAATGCTTAACGTCGAGGAGAGAGCACAGATAGCGTACAATGCCTGAAAAAGAGTATTCCGAAAAAAACTGAGGGCTGCTGGAGTAGGTCATGCACATCAAGTACACCACTCTCTAGAGTCTAGACTGGTGGAAAACACTTGATAACAGTATCATGCAGAAAATAATTAGAAGGAAGCAGAGTCAGAAAATCCTCGATTGTAGCCGCAAAGGGAGCCCTTAGATTGAGGCAATCAAAATTGTGGGGTCAGGCCGAATGTCGTCGCGCACAGCGATCTTGTGTCAACTTAAAAGGGAGATAAAGGATGACTGCCCACATGAGGTCATACTGGAACTTCTGCTTCAGGATTCTTATAAAATTTCCAACTAGGGAAGAACTGGACTCTCGCCTACTGACGGAGAATGATGGTACTACGATGATGATTTTCGTTGTTGGTGCTTCCGACAGGATAGGAGTATGATGTATTTTGAACGAAATGACACTGAAGATAGCACAACGCCGAAACCGGTTTACCTCCAAACCAAATTGGACAAGGGATGGCGGAAATTCGTTCCAAAATACATCATATGCCCACCCTGTCGGAAACAACATCAACCAAAAAGGAAAAATTAAAAGAGACTTCGCTTCAGCTATCCTGTAGGTAAGGCTTCTGCGGAAAGAGCTGCACCTGAGCACTTTTACATGGATTGGTAGAGTGGGAGTACACGTGACACTCCACTACCCCAGAACCCCACTAGTCTTTGACAGGTGGACCTTGTGCCGTTCTAATATAGTGTGATTGAAGGCAGTTAGGGTTACAAAGCTGGAACTATCCATCCGATTGGGCTTCACGCGATGAGACTAAATATCACGGCGGATCCATATCGACGAGGCGGAATGATGGCAAAACATTATTTTTTACTACCCAACTTTTACAGCACCAGGCATCGCAGTTGTTAACCAGAACGGGGAAGCGAACGAGGTGCTTTAGCTTACCAATAATCTTTCGTAGTGGTATCATAAACGACTAATGCTTATGGTCTTAATGTGCCCCTATTTGGAGCAACAACCTTAACCTACCTACCAAAGTGGTTAAAGGAGAAATACGAGAAGTCCACGCACCACATTCCAAAAGTTGTCCAAGAAATTCTTTAACTGTTATTTATAAACAAAAATAAATAACAACGTAACCAAAGTTGATTCTTCCGAGTTAGATTTTCTTTAGAGTATTTTTTATAAATATTTATTTATTTTTTTGGTTTTACATTCCAGTGTCAATTTACTTACATATATTTGTCTGACCTTATATTTTTCCATTCTTATTTTTTAGTATGCAACTGCAATAATCACGCCCGTCAATGCCGCTTTAATATGGAGCTCTTTAAATTGTCCGGTCGTGTATCCGGCGGCGTTTGTCAAAATTGTCGTCACTATACTACTGGCCGCCACTGTCACTACTGCAAGGAAGGCTATTATCGCGATCCGTCTAAGCCACTGAATCATCGTCGTGTATGCAAACGTAAGTATTTAGTGAATTATTTTAATTTAAAACATGTACATTGGGGTGGTCCTTGAAATGAAATGCGCGATATTTTTCAATCTCACTCCATTCGATTGGTAATACCAAGGTCACAGATATCACATACAAATTTTGGTCCCGATTGCAGACGGTTAGGGCGTGTCGCACAGGGGCCAAAGTTCAGATTCCTCTATACCCAAAATCGATACTTCCGTAGTTGAAGATATCACATAAAAATTTTGGTACCGATTGGAGTCGATTAAGACCCCTTCATAGGCTAATCTGAATTTTGACCCCTGTGCGCCCCAGCTTAGCCGACTCCAATCAGGGCCAAAAATTTATATGTGATATCTTCGACTATAGCAGCATCGACGTAAGGGTTGAGGAAATCTGATGTAAAAATTTTCGTCCTACATTTAAGAACCATCCTAATGCACATATAACTGTATACGATGGATTTTTAAAAATTAAAATCTGGAATTCTGGTATCTCACAGAAGAGTGGTTCTAAGACATTTTTTTTCTTATTTTTCCCTATACATTTTGTCACTTTCCTAAGTTAACTGTGGCCTGAAGAGGCATTTGCTGTTTATTGTATCGATTTTCCTTTAATTTGTTAAAGCAAACAAAACAAAACAAAAATACCAAAATATTAGGAGGCATCAGACATTTTAATTGACCTTGCCACATAATAAATAAGGCACTCCAATTTTATGTGTGATTTGTTGTGCGCATAATTTTTTATACATTATTGAAGACAGACAAAACAAAAAGTGAAAAAAAAACCTAATTAAACCCCAAAAAATGATAACTGCCACCGTTCCTAATCAGCAATGCAATCAAAACAAAAAAGGCCGCATGCAAACGTTTGAAGAAACGACATTTACTGATCGCCGCTAATTTCATCAATGGCTATTAAACACTAATTTAAATGGAGCAATAAACATTTTTGAATTGTTCGCCGACGCCGCCAATATTTAGTCAAACAGCCACAGACTGCAAGCGGCACTTCAACGCTCTCGATTTCTAATTTTTAGATAAATTAATAGACAATGTTGACATAATTTACAAAGTGTGGCCAAAGCGCAGTCGTCATCGAAATTGGCTGTAATTTGTTGTTGTTTTTTTCTATTTGTTCGATCTAAAGGCAGCTAAGCGCTTAACTATTTATGGGCGTTTGTTGAATGGCAAACTGTTGGTTGAGTGCATACATGAATAAAGACATTAATTTGTATACAAAATTGACATTAACATACAATAAATATTCATAAGCTTTGCAACTGAGCATAATTTTGTTGATTTTTACACAAAAATAAAAGCAAATCTGCATGCACAGCTACATATATGGAAATTAATAGCATTCAATTTAACACTCGTAGAGTAGCGGAAGATGAAACAGGTGATTTTTTATCAGTGGAATTTTGAATATTTTTGTCTTCTATTATAAGATAAGTGGTAAAAAAAACTATAAGCGGCTAGTGCAAATCAGTAGTATATGAATAGAGTGAAGAAGGCATTTACTTATATATTTATTTATCAGAAACAGGAAAGCTTTTATAAATTTTATCAGAAATGGAAAGGTATACTTCGTTTAAGTTATTATTATTATGTGGACTAGTAAATATTTTCTTTTTATTTGGTACTAGCATGCTCCACTGCGCCTTAAAAGTGTTTATATGCTGTTTGATACCCGTATTGTAGTATTATATTAGGGCTGTTCAGGATGTTGCGGAAATGGTCTTGGAAATGCATTTGCAAAAATTTATGTTGCTGCCACGGAAAGCGTGTGCGTTTGACTGTTATGAATTTACAAATGGAACGAATATGGAAATTTATTTATCAATTTAATTTAGTACAATTTTGGAAACAGGTGGCAACCCTCCAAAAAAATATTTTCGGCAGTAAACTTTCCTAAACCTTTTCAGTTTGATAACCGTATTGTAATATTTCATTAATTTTATAAATTTAGTAATTGAATAAAATTTTTCAAACAGGTGGCAGCACTCCTTAAAAATATTTTTGGCAGTAAACTTTCCTTAACCTCTTTAGTTTTATACCCATATTGCAATATCCCATATCTTATTAATTAAATTGAATTTAAATTTTCAAACAGGTGGCAACATTCAACAGAAATATTTTCGCCTCTAAGTCTTCTAAACCTCTTTCTTTTGGCAGCCATATTGCAATATAAACTGCAATTTTCAAACAGGTGGCCACTCTCTAACTTTATTTCTTTCTTATTCTAAGTTAGACCTCCATGCATAAGTTTTCGAGTGATGCACGTACGAACATACAGACAGACAGACAGAATTATTAATTTCGCTTCTGTTCCTCTAATAAAGACGCGTCATATTAATTTTTCTTTAATATCTATAATGTACAGACATCGGCCTGCTATAATTTTATTATATGTATAGATTACAATCATTTGTTATTTTGGGTCGAGACTATGAAACTTCGCCAATCGCCTCTCTCTTTTTTAGCGAGTTCAACAAGTTTTTCATCTCAATCGTAGAAAATTATCTCCGTACTTTGTGCTTACATTGTATTCGTGGGCGTCTCTTTCTACGTGATCCACCAATGGGTACCGAGTAGAAGGATCATCGAAGCATTGTCATCAATTTTTAAGAATTCGGCTATATCGAAGTCACTAAAAGTCACATACAGTTCGTCATTCCTTATCCTTCGGTACTCATTGTCCAAGAAAAAGTTCCACAGAACTTACGGAAAATAGTCTCCTCGAGATACTCAAAGGACCAGCAAACAACCAATGCTGCATGGAATTTTATAAACGGATACTCAGCCTTGATTGTCTGCTACCTACACGACCCATATCTAATGTGGGAAGAACAAAGGTTAACCACTAAACAAACCCTCTTAGCAATGGGTTGTGTACTGGGTTTGGGATTCGTAATGTACAAAACAGATCCAATGGACCCCGTACAAGGCTTTACGAATATGCGCTTGGAATGTCCAGACCCTACATAGGCAAGGTATCTCTTTCCAACTGCTAGTTTGCTTAGAGAAATACCAGACCGACATCACCACAGTATGGAAATCTCCATAATCCGACTCCAAAACCTGCTTAAACAAGAAACTTCTCATCGACCGGAAATAAATGAGCAGTGGGAAACGATCACGCAATCCCTTCGTTTCGCTGTGATTGGCTACTATCACCTACACAGGCACAGCTGGTATGACGAAAAGTGCCGTGCAGCTGATCATTCCAAGCCACCCTTCAGCCAATTCCTACACGCGCAACTATGGAGTGGTACCGCCAAAAAGGAAGAAAATAGAGACACTACATTTCGCTCAGTTCTCCCATTTCTGCGTGCAATAAGGAACATACAGATTGAGCTTAGATGCGCATCCGTCGTCTAACTGCTCAGTCTCAACGGTAATTGTAAATATTGAAGTCCTTCTAATTTTTGGGTTTCCATATTGTGAATCGAACTTATTTTTCATACAGAATAACTTTTCCGAAAAAAAAGTAAAGACTATGATATCTGCGAAGAATGCTTTGAACTCCTAGAAATCCACCGTTTAGTGAATTATACAGTTTAAAATGCATTATCTCTCATCACTCAAAGTCATACTGAGTACTTCACTCACATCACTACTTAGATACACAGCAGGATGGATAAACAATAACTTTCGCACATTCCAAGGTCATTTTTGCCACCACACAGTTTCCCTTTACTTCTGTGCAGCAGAGGATTTGCCAACTTCAAGAACAAAGAATAAATTTATGACTAACAATTGATCTTCGCTAAGCAAACGACGCTATTTGTTGGCAAAGCAAATGCGCTAATAATGACAACAAGCAGCAGTAAATGATTAAAAGATAAAAAAAATAGTAGCAATAATAAAGTGCACAATAATAAACAAACGTATGAAGTGCCAAATGGCGGTAAATGTAGTTGAAGAAAAAAAACAAAAACGTTGTACAGCAGCTCCGCAGCACATGGCGACATGGCGTATGAGTAACTAATGAGCAGCCATGTAAATTTGGCTTGTGTAGTATGTATTTGCCATGTGCCTTATGTGAATAGTAATGATTGAAAATGCATGTACTTGCAGCACACAAATATACAAGATCAGATATATAGGAAAAAACGTGCTGCACGCACCCAAAAAAGGAGCATACAGAGAAACAGTTAACGAATGCAATCAAACAGACCAAAATGGGCAGGCGCATACAGCAATGTATAAACACTCATATCAAAATATGCACATATGTATGTGCATTAGGGTGGTCTAAAAATGCATGTGGAAAAGTAAAGTCGGAATTTTTATGCTCTCACCCCCTAGGATACCGAAAAAAATATATCCGTATTTTTTTTTATTTTCATATCAAAAAAACATTTAGAGGTCGCTCAAAGCGCCCAAAGATTTCCATGTACTTTGTACGGGAAAAAATCACTTTTCGCAAAAATGGTATAGAATTCTTAAAAATCAATATTTTTCTATCGGATAACTCTGTTTCTCTGCAGCAGATTCCCAATAATAATACTCAATTGTTTATTTAACCTTTTTTTCATCGCAACTATAATTTATAAGTCCGCCAAATCCCATAAAAACCCCGAAAAATTCAATGGGCGGACCAATAAAAAATCGTTAGTATTAAAAAAATGGTTAAATAAAAAATTGGGTAATATTATTGAAAGTCTCTTGGAGAGAACCAGAGTTTTCCGATCAAAAAATATTGATTTTCAAGAATTGTATACCATTTCTACGAAAAGTTGTTTTTTTCCCACATGAAAATACATGGAAAACTTTGAGCGCTTTGAGCTACCCCTAAATATTTTTTGATTTCAAAATAAAAAAATAAGGGTATACTTTTTTCGACATAGAACGATCCTAGGGGTGAGAGCATTACAATTCCGACTTTGCTGTTTTTGGACCACCCTAATGTGCATGCACAGTATATAAAAATATTCAACCATACACACATAGCAGTAGTAAAAGTGCAGCGCTCTATTGGCCTTTAGCTGGCTGGCT